GTAATCTAAATACATATGAAAACGAAGAAGTGGCATTTATTGGGCAGAGAAGCGGCGAGCCATTAAAATGGCGGCAATTTGACGAGATATCGAAGGACACATTATCGAAGATAAAATACACTGCACTGTTTCAAAAGTGGATGAAACCTTCTTTGAAATCTTCTTCAGCCATTTATGACTATGTAAAAGTACAATAACTGGATGATATTTGCGTGATTCGGCGATAAAAAGCAAACAAGACGGCAAAATATGGCTGAAATCGCGTTTTCGTGGGGGGTAAGTGAAATAAAATGTATTATATTTAAAGAAAACAATGACAATCCTTATGAAATCAACAATATTTATATTAAATTAAGCATAGTTTTTAACCCCATGATAATTTTTTTTAGGAAATAAGAATATTTAATTTCTGCCAGGCATATTAGTTATTTTGTGCATAATCAGCAATTTACCTGGGGTGGTGCATGGTCATTTTCTGGTAAAATATTATACTTAGACAAATTTTTTCTTCCAATGACACCCCTAAAAGAAACCCTTCTAAACACTATAAGCACTTCAGAAAGAATATCGCTTTTTGTTTTCTGAAGTTAGAGCTATGTCGACACTGCCGTTTCAGGGCGGGGTCATTTTCAGGACTTTCGTCCCGGATTCAGCTTTTGGCACATATGCCATGTTGACCGCCATAGTCATTTTACCCCAAAACAGTTGAGATTACCTGTACTAAATGAAACGCATACAAACTCATATACAGGTCCTAGACTACATACTGTTCCTCGGTGATGTTGGTTCCGGATAGAGTGGAATGGAAGGTTTCGCGTTGTGGTAAGGAGCAATGATTTATATTTCAAAAAAAAAAAAAAAAAAATGATTGAGTTTGTCGAGGGAGTCGACCCACTCGTACGGGAAGTAGCCTTTGGTCTGGGAGCACTCGTACGCTTTGAGAAACTGTTCGTAACAAAATCCCGGAGCCAGATAGTTTGTGATATCGAGGAATTTTAAGTGTTGAGTCTTAAGACACATGTGGTTATTGTTCCTTTTTATCACAAACTTAACTTGTTCGTGTTTGACAAGATGTGAAAAGAAAGGGTTTTTCGCAGCGTTAATATCATATTTACCAGAGTTGAATCCAAGAATTGGTAACTCTTGTAAGTATTCTGACAACTTATCTTGGAGTTTGAGCAGAGGATGGACCACATCCTAAATAAATGAAAAGGTGTCATAAGTAAAAAGCAAGATATTTACACATCCCTACTAATCTATATAACCGCTAAAATGGATCATGAGTGTGATACTCACTTTCTCTTCAACGTCTTTATCTTTATCCACTTCGTCTTTATCTACCCCACACACATCTTCACTCGCCTAAAAAGGTGCATATATGGTAAGCACAGGAAAGACCACTGTTGAGCTCAAACCTTATGTTATTTACCTCACTATTCAACCCCATCAAACATCCCACCATATCCTCTATCATCTGTTCCTCTGTATTTTGCTAAAACATAAGATATATTAGAATATAAAGAATATAAGTGCAAAAATAACCTTCCTATAATTTACCTCATTATCCTCCCCCGCGGCAACTTCCATAACCTCGTTTTCCCCCACCTAAAGATATAAGAAAAACTATTAAGGATAAGAAATACACTAAAAATCTAATACGTGTGAAATATACCTCATTGACCCGTTCATCAATTTGACGAAAAACGTCAGAGAATTGGTCCAGCAACAATCCATAGCTTTCTTGGCTGACCTCAACCAAATATTCCACGAACTGTTGGATCATTTCACTTGTACTGCCAGACGAGACGAAGCATTTGGGTTGATCATAACCAGGGACGTTTGAACAAACAGAGACACTGAAGGGGATATGTTCGGCTTCCCACGTTAACTTTGCTGTATTTCGTGGATGTTCGGTTTCACGTTTGAAATAACACTCAAAGTCAAAGGTGGCACGATAAGGGAAGTACCTTAGATCTTCAGGGATCTCGATTTCCTCGGCGGCCAACAAATCGAATATGGTTTGTGGAACTCTGTAGGCACCACCAGGGAAGATGTGACGTATAGTTGCTTCGCATGTTCGCTCGTGTTCGTTCAAGGCCTTTGCCGTCTTCCACATCTTGTCACATTTGCAACAACAGTAGGACTTGGAATACATAGCCAAATTCTTAATGTAGCTGAAATGGCTGCAGTAGAGGTTCAGATACATCGAATTGGCATATCTACGGTGGGATCTCTGTATCAGTTGAGCCACAATGGAGGTCGTGTCGTCATCTTCGTCATGTAACTCTGTAAGGCGATACACGTAAATATTCAACTCGAACAACTTTTCCAGTTCAGGTAGTTCCTCTAGGGTAACACCATCAAATTCATCATCTTCCGAATATTGTTCATAAAAATGTTGAGTATCACGTTCTAAATTTTTGGGGTGGCAACCTTTGTGCATAGCCAAACAACGAAAGAAACAAAGTTTGTCTTCGTATGGTAAACTGGTATTATCATCACAATCCAACGACACGATGGCACGACTCTCCAGTATGTATTTGGGTAGTCGGACACTGTGACCTATGGGATGGTCTCGAAGTTTGGTGACGTAGAAGGTAACGTTGGTGAAATCCATGACAATCCATTTGGAGTTGGGATGCTGTTGTCGAGCCCATTCATGAATGTCGATGTTTTCCAACGCTCTACGCACTTGGACCAAATCCTCACGATTATGGATTTGGAATGGGGAGTCGAAAACACGGTTGTTATTTGCTGAGGGGTGGTGGTATTGCATTTGTTGTGTCTCGTTATTAAACAATACGAAACCAAAGGAGAGATTTAACTTAAAGACAGTGGTTTGATGTTGGAATATACGGTCTATATCGGCAACAAGTTGACCCATATTCACTGAGCTTAGACGATAGTTGTACCAATCTTGCACTCGGTTGCCTCGACTTTGCCGCGTACGTATAGCACGTCAATGGTCTCGGTGGAGTTGGGAAGGAAGGTTGGGCGGTGGTAATAGGGGATCTTGGGGGAACTCTTGGGGTCCTGTAGAAATAACACCCTATTCTTTATTTTTGTCTAGAGCTCTGCACTAATTTTGTCATACAAACACCCGATTCATAAAAAATTGACATAAGTCTAACATGAATAAATTAGGGACATGCAATTTCACATAGCAACATGATAAACCTACGCAACAAAAATTACTTTTACCTCACTATAAAACGCTAGCGAATGTTATAAAACAGATGTAGCGTAAATACTCGTACAATGACATAAATTAATAAAGCAAATGAACATAAGTCTAACACGAATAATTAGGAACATTCCACACTATAAACCCACGCTTAAAAATTACCCGATTATGTTTATCAGGTTTTCAAAACACAAACATTAGTGCAACAGCATGAAAATATTTTTCAAATGTAAACGTTAGGATTTCAGGCAATGTTTTAAAACCGAGTAATTAACATTGTCAATATACACATCAAATCACGACAATCAATATACTATGTGTGGTATAAAAATTTGAATTTCATACCTTCGCTGACGATAGTAGAAGCTCCTGAAAAGGAGAAAAATGTATTAGTGTGATTTTAACTCAAATTATTACACGGCATATATGCTCTCTTACCTTCGTTAACGCGTGTCGAAGATGATTGCGGTTCTTAAAAGAGAAAAATATCTGTGTATAAATACAAAATCAGTAATCGAAATATTTTCATTTATACATACCTGGTTCAGCAGTTCTTTGCCTTTTCGTTCGCCTGGTCGGCGTCTTAGTACGTCTACCACCACCAGTCTGATGGACTTCGCGCTGATGGGCTTGAAATGGGAATATGTTTCGAAACACTTCACCACATACATTACACGTATATTCCCGTTCCGCGCCACATCGCTCGTGCAATTTCATATGTCGGTTTAAAACATCCTTGAAATCAAATAAATAGATATTATTAACTCAAAATACTTTACTACGTTTTGAAATATATCCCTGTAAATTACATACCTTTCGATTAAATGTTTTATGGCAACGCGAACACTCGTGGTCTTTGTCACTGTGAGTTTTCATATGCCGGTTCAAAGCATCCTTGAAATCATATAAATAGATATTATTAACTCAAAATAGTTTACTAAGTTTTGAAATATATCCCTGTAAATTACGTACCTTTCGATTAAACGTCTTATGGCAACGCGAACACTCGTGGTCTTTGTCACTGTGAGTTTTCATATGCCGGTTCAGTTCGTTCGAACGCGTAAATACCTGACCACAATCATCACAACACAACCTTGGTTCTCTCGGAGTTGATTCATCGTTTTGCCAGTTCCATTCAGCAAGAATTTGCTCTTGCGTCTCTGGTGACCAGGACTCAAACATTTCATCTGTATCAATGGCACAAAGCTGGCGATTGACCTCTTCATTTTCCAGTTCGCTCATAAATCGAGCTCTCCTACAAAATATAGAAGTTGATTACATAAACAAAACTCTTGATATTATATTAATTTTAAGTTTAAATTAAACTTACTCAATATTCTCTCGATGTTGCTGTGCCATTCTCTTCCAAGTAGTTTTCTCCGAATTTAAGTTTCACCAAAAGACCTCCAGTAAGAGCGTTGTCAAATGTAGAACTATGCCTATTACAAGACACTTGTCGATTTTATACAGCGCTCGTTAAATCAAGCAACCAATCATAGTAAGCCAACATTAATCCCTCCATTGTATCATAAACGTGGAGGGACGCTAAAAAATGCGTAGTCAGCAAATTTTGTTCAATTTCGCCCGAACAGGCCCGCGTGACGTCATTACATACCTGATCCTGCCCGCGAGACGTCACTACGCACCCTCATTTGTGCGGCCCCTCTTAATTACTTGCATACGCCGCCCCTTGCATAGTAATTACTTGCATATATAATGATGCGCCGCCCCACGCCACCACCACCACCACACTCCACCACCACCACCACCGCAAAAATCCGGATCGAACGGCCTCTATATTACTACTTATGTAAACTAATAGAATTAAAGCTAGGTAAATACTAAATACAATAAAAGTACATGAGTTGGAACATGTATATGTTTACACTTTACGCTAGACATATAAATATATATATATATATACATGTATCCATGCTATAGCAATCCGTGGATGCAATATAAACGACAGTCACTTTTGGTTTATTTTCTTGCATAAACTACTTCTTGCATATGTGGACTATAATTATTTCTAGTTTTTAAGTTGTCACGTTCATTATTCCGCTTGCATTTTCATAGGAAAGGCAAAACATCGAAGTCGCTCCTTGTCGCTTCCATTTTGAGTTTTTGACAGTTATTATTTTGCTCATGTACATACATCTTTTCTTATTTGTAGTATATGTAGAAGAGGGTCACCTGTTTGTTAGTTTCGTAACAGGAGAGTCCAGCAAAATGTCTAGCGTAAAGTGTGAACATATTCATGTTCCAACTCAAGTACTTTTATTGTATTTACCTAGATTTAATTCTATTAATTTACATATGCAGAGAAAGCATTGAACAAATATGAGAAATTATAAGACTTCAAAAGCTTACAGACAGACATATTAAATATACATTCAGTAACAACACGCAAATTGCTATAAATAGCAACGTTATAGTCTAGTAATATAATATGATGATTTGTTGTGCTTTTGTTGTATAAGTAGGCCTATCACTAAAATATCTTGAAAATCCTTCTAAACGTTTCTTTATAAAATATACAAAGCATGTACATTGGATATCGAAACACAAAATTCAAAGTTTTGAACAATTTGAGCTTCGTGACTTTGTATAGACGTATAGGCCTAATGATTTAATTGTGTTACATTCCACTGGAAATCACCAAAATGAGCTTTTTTAAAAGTCTCGTGTGAGGCTCCAAGGCAATAACCCAAGCTAGTTTTTATATACAACATGTACTCATGCTATACCAATCCGTTGATGGAATATAAACAAATTCACTATTATCGCACATAGTAAATTTCCCTTTCAAATCCAGCCACAAAATGCAATTCTAAAATTTGACTAAAAATAGTCAATTTCAACGACGTCTGTCAGGCCAGTTAAAGCCTCCTGGACCATTCTATTTTGATAACAGTGTTTTTAAATACTTGAATAATAGTCATTAAACCATCAAAACTATCTACGGGTAGTTTTGAATACGTCGCAAAGTGATGAAATTGACCATGGAAACGGCGTTGTCTGAGGCTAATTATAGCCTTCCGGAGACAAATTCTTGATTTCTGATATTTGTACGTTTATCGACCAAATATTGAAAATCTAACCCAAACACCATTTATAACTACGTATTATGTAAATTTAAGCAAAATATTAAAGAAATCTATTTTTCGTGTATTGCCGCAGAATTCAAATTTTGCTCGATTTTTACGGACAGTCGCTCTTAAAAACTAACATTATATTTACAAGAGGTACTGGTTTTCAAAGGGCCGTGTAATAAAAACGAGATCCTGTTTACTATGATACAATACTAATTTAAGGTATAATTAATGTATAATTAATGATCCAACCAATTAAGCGGTTTTATCAAGTCGCCGTTTGAAAGCGTTAACTGATAGCTCACAGAAATCTTCAGTTATATCATTAGATAATTCGTTCCAGGAATTTGCCGCACTATATGAGAAGCTTCTTTTTAAGAAATTAGCCCGTGGTTTTGGGAGTGCCAATTTGGTGTTATTACTTCTTAGACTGTAATTATCGTTATTGCACTCAGTAAATAATTGCTGTAAGTAATCCGGTCCTTGCCCGGTTAAAACTTTGAATGTCATAACAGTTTCCCTATTTTTTAAGTCAGCTTCAATTGGTTTCCAAATAAGGTCTTTCAAGATTCGAGAGGAACGAATATCGTATGTACTTGAAGTAATTACACGCGCAGCTCTCCATTGTAATTTTGGAAGTTTAACTATAGTACATGATCCATCGTTCCATATTGTAGAGCAGTAATTAAAGTGAGGCAAAACAAAGGCATTAAACATTTTAATTAATGTGTGTCTAGGAACGACAGGTCTAGCTCTTTTTAGCAGAGCTATACTATTTGAATTTTTTTTGCATTGAACTTCATTGTGTTTGTCCCACTTCAACTGCTCATCGAGGACCATACCTAGTGACTTTTTATAGCATACACGTTTTATATGTCTCTGTCCTAGTTTCAATATGGGCTATTATGGACACAGGCAAGACGTGATCTTGAGCCGATGAGCATGAACTCGGTTTTATCATCGTTTAAAGTAAGTTTATTTGCTGTTAGCCATCGGTGGACATTCTCAAGCTCTACATTAAGTTTGGTTTCAATTTCACTCGAGCTTTGTCCAACACAGGTTAGATTTGTATCGTCAGCAAACATTGAAGGTTTTGACATTTTCAAACTATTTGGGAGATCATTAATATAAAGAAGAAAAAGGATGGGACCAAGATTCGATCCCTGTGGAACCCCACGTTTAATATCATTTGCAGACGATTTCTTACCATTAATTGAACAAACCTGCTTTCTGTCCTTGAGGTACGATTTAAACCATTCAAAGCTTCTCCGTTGGATGCCATACTTTTCTAATTTAGCTAATAGAATTGAATGATGAACAGTTTGAAATGCCTTTTTAAGATCCAAGAATAGGACTCCAGTAAAGAGGCCCCTATCCATATTATACAACCATTCATTTGTAGAACTAAGCAGAGTAATTTCCGTGGAATGTTGAAAACGGAAAACCGACTGCTGGCCCACAAGAACGTTGTTTATTGTCATAAAGGATTTTAGCTGTTGATATACCAATTTCTCAAATACCTTAGCAACAACGGAGATTACAGAAATTGATCTATAATTTCCGCAGTCATTCCTATTACCGGCCTTGAAGACTGGCGTTACTTTTGCTAACTTCCAGTCGTCAGGGAATATAGCGGTCCGTAATGACAGGTTGAAAATATCAACCAATGGCCCAGCAATATTGTGTGTTCCGTCTTAACAGTCTTGCACTAATTCCATCCAGTCCTGAGGATTTTTTTGACTGAATGAGATTTAGCACATCAATTACTTCATCTATAGTGATGAAGTTAAAGTTAAATATGTCATCATGCGTAACAGTCATCAAGCTTAGCGGATCAATGTCACCGTCCTTAATTCCTTCGGACAATTTACTACCTATAGTTGAAAAATATCATTAAACGGCAGCAGCAATTTTCTCGTCATTGTCATTTATTACGGTTTCGCCCTCAAAATTAATTTCCCTTATTTGACTAGTCTTGGATTTTTTATTCAGAAGCTCGTTAATAGATTGCCAGCTTTCTTTGCTATTGTTAGTATTACTTAATTTGGACTTAAAGTAACTCTCTTTTGAAGTTCTAATCAGATTAGTTACTTTGTTTTTACATTTTTTGTAGGCCGTTTCATAGTAGACAGATCGCAATCGGATGGCTTGCCTTTTTAAATAATCTCTGTGATAACTCAGTCGTCTAATTTCGCTAGTAATCCACGGTTTAAATTCGCTTTTCACACGCCTTTGTTTAATTGGCGCATGCTTGTCCGCGATAGTAAGAAATTTGATTTTAAAATCACTCCAAAGTTGATTCGGATCGTTTGAAGCATTCGGATACGAATTGAAAATTTTATTCAAATCATGATTGAACGCGTTCACATTGTATCTCTTGTATTGCCTAGATAGGACAATTTTAGGTAATTCTTTTGGGAGACTAATCTTGCGGCATATATATACAAGATTGTGGTCACTGATCCCAAGCGGTATGACTCCTGTTTCTAATGTTTTATTACAGTCCCCCATACAGGTAAAGATAACATCAATTAAACTAGATGTTATTGAGGTAACTCTCGTCGGTATTTTAATATGCTGCTTGTTAGGGATACAGTATTTGCTTCCCATTTAGACAAATAAAAAGGCTGAGGCAATTCTTTTATGCGATATATTCTTAATACGTACGATTCACTATACAAAGTACACAAACACAAGTAAATTATTAGCAATAAAACTAGACAAAATACAGCACAAAACAAAAATACACTTACAAGAAAATATGCCTCAATAACCAAATTGATCTTGATCTTCAAGAAATAAACTTGGCTCATGACTACTAACTTAAAACAACTAACTAAACTAATATAATAAATAACACATTTTTATAGTATTTTTGGCTATTTTGGTCAGCGGACTAATGTTTATCTAGTGTCGCACTTCATGTAACCACAGATTTTACACTCCCCTCCAAAGACTCTCGTAGGGAGACTTTTACGGTTACAGAACACCTTTGAGTGTTAATTTTGCCTAAATTTTTTTTATTGGTTTCAATGAAAGCATTAGACTAGTTCTACTATCTGACCAAGTTTGAACGAAAAATGTTGAAAACTCGCAGAGTTATTTAATAAAATACATTTCGCTGCAATAAGAAAAACATTGAAAATGTAATATTCAAATTCAATTTTCTCCCGAAGAATTTTACGGTAATTACTGATTTTTAAACGAGTTGTGCTCCTGCGGGTTTTAACCACTTTCTCTCAAATTTTCACAGGACATAGCTAAATACGTCAGCTTCAAAATTTGTGTTCGCCTTTTTTTTAATTTTGGATATTTTAAAAATAAAGAGCGATTCACTCAAACGATTCAGAAATATATTGCAGTCGTCAAAGAAATCGCCATATCAGCGGAATGACGAAATAAACAAAAATTTCCGAACACAATTTTTAGAACAACCATTTTACTGTATAAAAATGATATTTTCATAAATATAACTTAAAACCAGCAGGAGCACAACTCAAAAGCGTAACGGTACCGCGATTTAAGATTTTCCTGAATAATTCTTACATTATTTTATTGTTTGTTAATTTTACAACTTTACCATATTTTTCATGCACTGGAGAACATTTGGTGAAAATTTAATGACAAATCCGACTGATATTGAGCGCGCAGTAGCGATTTTCCGCAAAACGCCAAAAAGGGTGTCCTGTAACCTTAAAGTCCTTAAACTGTCCTAGAAATGTACTTAGATTTCATGAGATTAATTGTTCTCGAAGTAACTAGTAAACTTACAACTTGTTCTTCTAACATACATAACTTTCGAATGTCACGTTGATATGTTCCTGTGGCTGTTCGTACTGAAACTCTTCGAACTACACCATCTTCGTCGGGATAAACTTCTTGTATCAAACCTTTTGGCCATTTACCACGTATTGTGTCTTTACTAGTGACAAGAACAAGATCTCCAACTCGGAAATTGTATCTGCTTTTCAACTAATTCTGACTTTATTGAAGTTGGGACAAATACTCTTTAATCCAACGGTTATAGAATTTATTAGCAAGATGATGAACTTGTTTCCATCTTGCTTGATATCGATCGAGATTTCTCTCATCCTCTTGGAGAAACGCAAGAATTTCTTCGCATTAGTGAGATATCATTTGGAGTTAGTGTCTTCAAATCTTCTGCTTCACTTGGAACAGGCGTAATCGGACGATCATTCATGGTCTTCTCTACTTCAGTTATAACCGAATTAGACGTTCCCATACGCCACCATAATGGCTAGCGGCTGGTGGATTGAACTTCCACTCAATTTCCTTCTCTTGTAGATTGTATCTTATTTGCTCTTGATTCCAAATTTTCATCGCCTTTAAAATATCTAATTCAGCTCCTCGGAAGTTCGTTCCATTGTCGCTGTAAATGACCGACGGTGGTCCCCTTCTTGCTACAAAACGTAATACTGCGTTGATAAAACTCTCCGTAGACAGATCATTCGCAATTTCAATATGGACAGCTTTGTATCGAAGGCAGGTAAAAATACATCCATAACGCTTGTTCAAACTTGAAGTTGCTTTCGCCGATCTGGTTGATTTCCCATGGGTGACATGAAATGGGCCGAAATAATCGACACTAACGGCGGAAAAGGGAAAGGCAACCCGATCGCTATCCTCCGATACTCTTACAGGTGGAAGAGGAGCCATAATCTGTTCACCATATCTTGCACTCTGTCGTTTGCATTCGTGTCAATTGCGTAGGACTCTTCTGACTGATGCAACACCCTTCAAGATCCAAAACTTTTGCCTAGTCTCAGCAAGAGTTTGATGGGTTCCAACGTGCCCTTTGGACATGTTTCACGATCATCTCCTTCGCTCCTGTCTGACCGGAGAGTGTTACGTGATTCGGATATTCCGTTTCAGTTGATCCAGACTCGCGTTTTCTACCGAGCGATCTAAATTTGTTACAAATTGTAAGTAACCAAGCAACTATTCGAAACATTCAAAAGATCATGGTTAAGTTTTCATTCAATTTCATCTACGGTTGAAGCACTGATGGAAAGAGTTGTATCGTCTGCAAATAATCTAGCCTTAGTAGTTTGGAGACATCTGGGTAAGTCGTTAATATATAAGAGAAACAAAAACGGCCCAAGGTTGGATCCCTCTGGAACTCCACACTTAAGTTCGTTTATATCTGATTGCTTACCATTAATGGAGCAAATCTGTTTCCTGTTATTAAAATAAGATCTAAACCATTTCAGACTGGTTCCTCTGATGCCGTAAAGCTCTAATTTGGAAAGTAGTATGTTATGGTTGACTGAGTAAAACGCCTTTTTAAAACCCAGAAACAAAACCCCGTTCAATAAACCATTATCCATATTATGAAGCCACTCGTTTTTTAAATCAAGTAAAGCGGCTTCCGTAGAGTGGTGCTCTCGAAAACCTGAATGATTTTTAGTTATTATATTGTTATTCATCATGTCGGTTTTAAGTTGATTACATACTAATTTCTCAAACAGTTTGGCTATGATGGAAATCACAGAAATTGGTCTATAATTGCCACACTCAGTTTTTACACCATCCTTAACGATTGGTGATACTTTAGCCAATTTCCAGTCATGAGGGTAAATTCCTGTTGGTAAGGATAGATTAAAAATGCTACCCAATGAATCTAATATTATATCCCCAGCATCTAATATTATATCCCATTAATACTTATACCATCGATTCCTGGTGATTTTTTAGTCTTAATTTGAGCAAGAGTGTCGGACAGTTCAGAGGCATTGATGTTTTTGAAGCAAAAATAATTTTTAATAGGAGATACAAATCGCAAGGGATCGGCACCATTCTCGGTGATATTTTCAGCGAGTTTAGACCCAATTGTAACAAAATAGTCGATTGTCCATTTTTAACTGATTTATTTCTGTAGTTTTAGATTTTTTGTTTAATAAGCTTTTTATTGTCTGCCAGCTATCGTAAGCTGTTCTTAGTGTTTCCAAGTTTTGTTTTGAAATACTCTGCTTTTGTGGATTTGATAAGGCTATTAAAGGACATTGGCAATAAAAAATTGGTTTGTCTCATTCAAAAAAAATCTTAAAATTATATATTAAACTCTATTACCGATTTGTCATATCTTGCTTAGTTCTCGAAATATTTAGACCGAAATTAATGAGCTTTTCGCCATCTTGGAAAAATGCTTTATCATTAACTATGGATTTGATGACGTCAGGATTTGGGTTAACCATATAAAACTACTCTAAAATGACCGAGTAACAATCCAATATTGTTTGAAATGTTTTTAATCATTTCTAAATTTCAGACAGCAACCAGAAACGAAGTTTTGGACTCATATTGATCACTTACTCTCAAGATAAAAACTTAGCGTGACCCGTCTCTTGACGTAACATGCATATCCTCAATAATCCAAGATGGCGAAACAGCTAGCGCTCAATTTTTTCAGTCGAAATATTTTGAAAACTAAGCAAGATATAAACAATCTGGAATAGAGTTTAATATATAGTTTTAAGAGTTCTTTCAAATGAACTAAACTAATTTTTTAATGCCCACGTCCTTTAACATAATTTTTATGCCTTTTTTAAGCCGTATCGTAATATGCAGATTTAAGTTTAACTGCTTGCTTCTTATGGTAACATTGTTTTTTGCAAGTCCCTATGGTAACATTGTTTTTTGATATGCTCAGTAAGCCATGGTTTGTAATCACTTTTTACACGACGTTGTCGAGTAGGCGCGTGTTTCTCAGCAACGTGCAAAAATCTATTTTTCCAATCATGCCACATGTTGTTTGGGTCATCCGTATTAATACTAGTAGCAAAGATATTTCTTAAATCCGTTCTAAATTCATTAACTCTAAAATTTATGAATTGCTGACTAAATATTATTTTAGGTGGCTCCTTTGGTACACTGACTTTACGCCATATGGAGACTAAGTTATGATCACTGATGCCCAGTTCAACAACCCCCGCTTGTACTGTTTATTGTCTTCAATCGAACTGATAGTGACGTCAATTAATGTTTGAGAGTTAAGAGGCTGTCTCTGTAAAAACCACCCACTGAATTTCAATGCAAAATTAGATTTTTCTTATAAGCTCAGTTTTTTTTTACTTTAGCCATAACTATTACGAAAACGAGTTGCATTTCATTCGTAAGTCGATTTTAACATTTTCAGGATAGATACTAAGATAGGAGTAGGCAAATTCAATTATCACAGTTGAAAATCGGAAATATGACTGATTTTCTCGTAGCTGTAAAACAAGCGGATTTCAATTTAAAACCTTAGTTTTTGTACAGTTCATAGATCTGGCATAGCTGAATATCTGGACGTATTATTGTTCAAAATGAGCCTGAGAATTCTTCTGAACCAGCTATAAACTTACAACATGTAAACTGCTTTTCGACAAATCGCAAAAATATGAGTACTTCAAGAGCGAATTTTAAAAGTGTGGCACCTATCTGAAACGCCTGAATTATATAAATGGAAACAATAAATAACGTGTAACTCAAAACAAGAATCAAATTTTTCTGCATGCGACGTTAGGGAAAATAACAGTCGCCTACAAATCACAAAATTTTCAAAATGCAGTGCCAACCGACAGAGTATGGCCGTCGCAAAGTACTATGTAATTCGATCACTAAATCTCTTACCTAGCCATAACGGCCCATAAGTTGAGAGTTCTGATCTTTGTGTGACATTTTAAATCCAAGATAATGTCACATAAACTGAAATTTTATCCACTGGCGTGAAGTTTGTAAATAACTATTCAACGAAGGTCATAAAATTATGCAGTAAAATACTGTATCCATCGAACGCTGTAGAACTCGCATGTATTTTGTTGGTCACAACGAGCTTGCTTGCTTGATTCTGACGGAAAATGAAGCCAAAGACATCAGGTAACCACAATAAATTTATCTAAAGTCCTAAACCATGTCCTAAACACGTATCAATTACAACATATTTGCATCAAACGGCTTGGAATACGGAAAGCGGAAGTAAAGTTAACAATAATGTTTTGTTTACTTTTGCGATTCGTTCCCAGGCCCTTAGTGGATTTATTTGAAGGTTGAATTACAGTTATGGAGCCAATCTGTTCTTTCTCTGAGCTTGCAAAGTCGTCTTGTGGAGAATTTCGTA